TCAAATCGGTTCAGTTTTTACTGATTTATTGTATGTCCCATAACAGTAAATATTGTTTTACTCAAGATAGCTCATGAACAAAAAAGTTATGTTAACCTATCCTAACAAAAATAAAAGTTAATTAAATATTTTAATAATTTACGCGTTCGATGTCGCGGCCACAGTTATATAAATGTGTTTTATGAAGTAAGAAAAGGATAAATTGTACTGCCTTGGGGCCCGGGCACGGTGAGTCCGACCCTGTTTGCAGATAAACACTGTCGCCGCTATTATATCATCCGTATTATCTGAATAAAGCTAGCTCTTTGTGTAATAACTATCTCCTTTTCTCGTTAGACTCGACCCCCACCCCCGTCCCGGGTCCAATTTATCAACTTTTTATTCCATCACTAGTACCCGCAATAATTTACCGCTGACATACAAGGATTTGGCATTGTTTTGGCAAACTCCCGCCAACTAGTCGGAGAAATCCATTTTGTCATAAGCGAGAAGTGTGTACGACCAACTCAAAAAATGAGGATCAATTATGCTGTAGTCTTTTTCGTGTATTTGCCAACTTTCATGAATATTTGTTTTATTACCTACTAGCTGTCCTCGCGGTTCGAACCGCATGATCTTTATAGCCTATGTGTTTTACTGATCTACATTACTAAACAGGTTTCATCAAAATTCGTTTATCCAACCATCCATCTATCCGTCCAAAATTTCGAGTTATTAGTTACTTTTTTCTTTGTATTACCCACGCTTCAATAAGTTAAACTATGATATTTATAGAATAGTAGTACGTAAATGTAAAAATATAATAGTTTTAGTAAATCGAGAAATTTAGAGATTTGTTGTGATGCATCTGTCCGAAGCCGGGACGGGTAAACTGGTAAATACGAGTAAATGTTAGTTCGTTACTATGTATATATCTCCTTTTTTCAAAAGGTTTACTATAAGTCGGTTACGATAAAATATTCCAGAAATTTCGTAATGTTTTTTTACTACACGTTATGTATTTATACAGAAATGCAGGATTTCAATTTTGTGTAATTTCTAACCTGGACACAGGTTAATCAGAAACATGACACTTAAACACTGTGTCCATATTTCTCTCCAAAACGCCGAGGTTACACTGTGCACATTTCCCTCCAAAACCAAGTAGGTGAGACTTTGCACACTTCCCTCCTTAAGCAGCGACGTTACTCTATTCACAATTCACTCCAGAAACATCCGACCACAGACTAGGTATAAAATATCCTATTTTATCTACGACAATATGACTTCCATATCACAGATTATGTAACAAGATGGCCGCTATATAACAGACGAGCGACGAAACGCTCAACCAACGCATGATCCCTTTACGATGGTTTCCTGAGAAGCACAGGATACTAAAAGGATAATCTCGGGTCGCTGGAACCTTATCGCTCTTACTCGTCTTTAGGTTTAGGGTCAAGGCCGTACGAAACTAATTTGAAATTACCATTATATTTCACTAAACAATAATATAATGCACGAATGGAACTGATATCGTAATTATATTTTTATTAATAAAATATATGTAATATTATGGTATATTAGTAGCATGTTCCGACTTAATTTAAACTTTTATCATGTTACGGTAATCACATAGTAAAAGCTTAGGTGAATTATTGAAGTTTAGTAGGAGTATAAATTTTTTATTACCAATAAATATGGCCTTTGTTAACATTCTAGTGAAGAATTAATTTAAGAGTTTATTCTTTACAAACATACAAAAATACGGTTTGCATTTCCTCTTTATATAATATATTAGTACAGAGAAGTAATAATAATAAGCTCTTGAAAGCAACAAAATATTGTTGACATATTGATAACATCAAGAACTATTAAATAAGATTGCAGTGGCTTCTGACATACGTCACTGTGGTAGACGTACACGGTCGCATAATAAAGGTTGGCATTTTTTTTTTGTTCTAATTAACTCGAACTTTTAAAAGTCATTTGAAAATAAGAATACAAATCCCGCTTAGCTTCCAAGAGCAATTGCTATGTATTATTTCAATAATATTTCCACAAAGGGTGAACGAACTGTTTATAGTAGATGTCCACAATAAAACATACGCTAGAATCAGGGTTGTCAACGAGGATTTGAGTATGAGATTTTTAGTGCAATATGTAGTATTCGTACAAGTTTTAAACTACAGAAATATATGCATTTATCTTTGTCTACTGTATTCTATTCTATAGAATATACTATATACTCTTTGAAGATATAATTTTATAATTACTATGAATTAAAATCAATAAGTCTTTAAGCGAAAATATATTATTAACGTAATAAAATATTTTAAGATTAAGAGGAATAAACTCAAATACTTAAACTATTTTAAAAATTTTTTTGTCTGTAGAATAAAACTATCAACAAGTAAAATAGATGTATTCTCATATTTTTTTTATATTACGATGGAGGCAATAAAGCATACGGCCCATTTGATGGTAAACATATACCGTAGCCTATGGTACCTACCTACCTACCTTTAAGAAACCTTAATATCCCCCTCTTGAAAAACTCCATGCTGTAGTCTCGCGAGAAAACCTCGACGCGTGTCGTATTGTATGTTGTACATTTGAATTTCTACAATAATTGAAACCACAGCACACGATTTTGTTTTAATTCTTAGTTTGCTTTTTATGATATACATATATTTAATGAGTATCTAATTATGATTATCAAGTTTTAAGAGCTGAGCATCTTGTTTAGTAAGTGTACAGAGAATTGTTCTGCTCGTTTGCAATATGAGAGACTTTTAAGGGTAGCAACCCTGTCGGGGATATTCGCCCCGTTGCCCTGTATTCCCAGTCGGTTCACGTATACACGTATACACGGCGGGCACCAGAAAGTTGTCACAAACAATAAATAAACAACATTGAGTCACCACCAAGTTTCGAGCGACACAGAAATATTCCACACATTTTCTTTAACAAAGTTTACAAAACGTAATAAATGACACACAATTTCTAACGATATTATTGTGATCTTTTTGTTTAATTTATTTAACATAGCGCGTATCCTGTTTGTCAATCAACTTAATAAAGGAGGAGGTTATCAATTAGAGTATTTTATGTATCAAACTTTATTCTACGGGAAAAAAGATTTATTTTATGTCAATGTTATTTCCTCATGAAAGATGTCAGTCTACATAACAATTAAGTGATGGTGTATTGTATTATGTACTCTTACAGACTGAATCTGAGGACTTGTGTCCATATCCATGGGGCACCATAACAATATATAACATTTAATATTTGTAATCTTATTAAAATAAAACAATCACTAAATTTTAATTGAATTTACCACAACCTATTATGTACGGTTGCGGGTAAAAACTGGAACAGAAGGGCTGAAGATTGTGACCAGTAGCGTGCCTTGATAGAGGTCTATGCCCAGCAGTGGACTGCAGTGGGCTGATGATGATGATGATGATTAGTTAAATTCTTATGCAATTGAATTACATAGTAGAGATGTAATTCACAAGCTAGTTACCACAAGTCAATTTAAAAATCTATTTCTAATTTAATGCAGTTTGTTATTAAACGTGTCATATCATAATTTGATATTGCGTGGTATTGCATAAAGTAGCCAATACTGTAGTTAATCCGCTTATTAGGTAAATAATTGTATGCGTTACTGAGTACTAACCTGTATACTGAATTTAGGTTTTACCAAATTAGCATAATTTCAAACTAAATGGCACCTATCCAAGATATATCGCTTGGTATGGCATTATCAAATATTTATATGAGTATTTCTTTTTGTATACTTTTTTTTAATTTACTCCTTTCAAGTTTGTACATTTAGTATTTAAATTTTCTCATTGATTGGAGAGATGGAAAATACTTGAATTATTAATCAAAAACTAGTCGTCTCTATATTTTAATATTCGCATTTCTTTTATCTAATTAAATAACAGTATAAAATACGTCGAATTTTCTAAAATTAATAATAGAGAACTTTTACAATTAATAATTTTTATACACATTGTAATCTTGAATATTTAAATTACCTACATTGCATAAAAGTCTATTTACTTCTTTAAAAGACATGTATCACATAAAACAGATATTTGTCGTATATTGTAATAAGTATTAAATTTTATAGTCAGATACGAGGGATTTTCTAATATTTTTATAAATCACACTTACTAATCTATGGCCTATTACTTACTAAAATAAGGAATTACTTAAATTATGCAGTATTAGTTGTTTGTTGGAATAACTTTGTAAGTTTAACGGATTTACTTTAGAAAGAACAACAATTGAGTCTCTTGCCAGTTCTTGTCGACTGAAACTGTCATCTTTACCCTACGGGCAACTGATTCACAAGGAAAATAATATTTAAAAACTTATAAAAAAGTTGCATAATCGTTTATATACATTAATAAATTATTAAGGAGTCGATAGAGAATGGGTAAACACCTAATCGTATCAAACTAGTCAACCCCAGTAGGTTAACAAGTTTAATACGATTGAATTCCATTGAATTTTTTTTTATATTAATATTAAGACACGTAAGTATATAATAATGCTGTTTATGTCAATGACTTATAATTATTTCAATATATAAGTCCTGTAGTCAAAACCGAGTTAAAATATTGCCAGACACCAGAAGCTATTATTAAGTTTACTTGTAAAATAAATATTAAAACTATAACATTCTTTTTAATACAACATGCATTTACAGCATTGTTTCCAGCCATGTCTAATAAAGATTTCTCTCTTCTTGTATCGATTAAATTCTTTACGCCGTCTTTGATTTTCCTCTGGCGCTAAACCTTGATAGCAATACACTGACTTATATTAATTGCAAGTGTCCGTACGGTGGCAGGGGACCGAGGACATTCGCCTGATCATCCCATTGTTCGTTGCAGCGATCTAAGCTAAGCGAACAAAGAAAAGCGAATGCATGCTTTGTCTTCTTACGTTCTGTTCTTTCTTTCGTATCATTTATTTGTATTGTGTGTTTTGTTCCGTAGGGCCGATTCTGCCAACGAACCACCGGTCACTAACGGACTGTCGGAGTTTGGAGAGGTGAGCAAGCGATTCTAAACTTTATTATCAATGTTTTATGTGTGCGTTTGCGCTTGGCGAATTCGGGTTTTCTTTGCCAAGCGATTGTGATTTTTAGATATACGGCATTTAAGTATACGCTTCTTTGAGTGTATAGAGTCCATTTGGTTTGATGAAAAGGAAACATTGATGTCGTTAATATAGAACAGAGCGTAGATATAAATACGTATAAGCTATAAAATGCTCCATTTGGGCGGGAATTTTATCAAATGGTCTTATGTTATTGGTTCGAGAATTTTCATAGAGAATTAATTATGAGTTTCTTTTAATTAGTCGCTTACTGAGTAAAGCCTGATCTAAAACGAACGAATGGCTCACATTTATAATTTTGTGTTTCTTTTTACGTACAATTTTTTACTTACCAACGTGATATTTTTCATCAAAATTATGACATTAAACAATGCCAGCTTAAGTAATAATCACAAAATATATACGACTTATGAATTTATCGTCGCTACTTTAGGACATAGAGAGTAAACTTATTTGTGATAGCAACATTAATTCATAATCATTGATTCATAATCAACACCTTGATATTAGTTAACCGAAATAACAGAAATAAAACAAAATATTTTTTACAGTATACTAATTATTATTTGAGTGTATTCATTAAATTGTCCTTAAAAAGCCCTTATTATATTTGCTGGATGGTTTTGTTTTGGCAATTATAATAAGTTGGTACATATAATGTACGTAAATAAGTATTTTGCGTCCTGATTTTGCCCGAAATATATTCAATTTAATGCGAAGTAATGAGATCTCTCATCTTCTAAATTGTTTATCAAGTATCAAACAGCTCTCTCAAGTACATAAGTAGAATTAATTTGTACCAGGAATTGATCTCGATACGTAATGATACGAAGATTCATGGTAAACAACATTATTATCTCTATAAATATAACATAAATGTTTAGAGAGAATTTTGTTGTTGTTTTCGATTGGTATTAATAAAATAGAATTGGTATATTGTTTTTTAAAAGATACATATGAAGAAATCATGTTAGACTTTTTACCTCTCATTTTATAAATCTTATTGACTTTACTGAAATTATTAAAATACACATTGAATAGTTTTGTATTTAAGTGAAGTTCAGATCTAATATTATTATTTAGAATTCAATTCATAGGCTTTATGGACGTGATGTGCCGATTATATAATGATTTTTATACACTCGCTCCAATGGTAAGTGCCAGTACAGTTTTAATATTCGAGGCAATAATAAACCGTATATATAGTATATTATAAGTATAGCCGAAGCAAATACCCTTTTCAATACCAGCTAAATTAGTCGCAATTAAATACATATATAGGATGAAAGAAACACGTTGCAGGAAGAGAATTGTACAATTTAATGACTCGACATAGCTAGTAGCTAGAGTTTTTGTTTCTTTAATAATCCATGGTATCGCATTTCCTTTATTAAAACTCCTTCCAATCTTTATTCTACAACAATAACCGACTTTATTCATATGGGGCAAACATAGCAGTAAACCTCTTTTATTGAAAATATAACGAACAAAATTCGTTCATAAATGGAGAATATATCGCGAAACGTGCAACAACTGTCGCACAAAAAAATTTTAAACCTCTATTTTGTAGGTAATGTTTTGTCTTCTGAAACAGGCAACTCGAAAAACAAACGAGATAAAACTCTGTACAGCACAAATTGCCAATTAAAACATTGTCACTGTACGACTTCATTCATTTACTGTGTACTAATAACGTTTCTCAGTCCCGTGGCGCGCAGAAATTGAAATAAATACCCTGGGCGTTACTCTTGAATCTCGTTAGCATGATATTAAATCGCCAGCGACCAGTGTCGCCAACCGTCCCATAATATCCGGGATCGTCCAATACTTCTGAAACAATCCCAAAGCCCGTATAATTATAATTTTATACTGGATTGCGTAGTTACTTGTAAAATAAGTAGGTACGTGGTGGCTGCCGTGATATCGCTTTAAAATAATACCATCACAATAGAATAGTAGAAATTTTAATGTCACAGAAAGACCGTCTTTATAAAATATGATTCAGAATAACAATGACGAAGTAACAAAAAGGTATTAAAATAAATTGAAAGTCACAGAGTTTTTTCTATATTTAAAACACCTTTGGACACCTTCGGAAGTAAACGATGATTTAAAAAATATATGACAATAATGTTTTTTAATATATGTACAATATATTTAGTGACAAGCAAAATTACTAAAAAAATTGTTTACAGTAGTCAGCATCTAACATAAATGTTATACAAAATACCTATAATATATATATGTTTCAACTGGCAATTTAATTATACCTGAGACAATTAAAGGTCCTTTGGATACATCAAAGTAAATGGCAGGAAAATTAATTCGCTCAGTTTATTTTTTTAACATTATTATAAGCATTCCTTTTTCAATGTATTATTGTTTGTCCTGATTTTCTTTTGTTCAACCTGGACAACAGTGCCGGTGACCGTTGTGCCAGGGTAATGAGCCCACCCAATTGCTTAATGGCGAATGTTGTGAAACTAGCTTTAAAATCCTGCTTATAATGAGTTTTTGATATTACTTTTAAGGAAGTTTAGTGTAATGTTTTTGTGATTGCTTCCATTTTAAGCGATACTGATATCGCTGAGTATTTGAGAACCTTTGTGGTGTAGTAATTTAACGCACTATCATGACTGCAATGGGTATGGGTTCGATCATACTATATTTCACATTTTATTTTTCTAATTTATAATAAGTTTTATTATAAATTAGAAAAATAAAATGTGCCTTTAGCAAATAAAATCACAATTTTAAATTATATAAACTTATAACAACTAATATAAACTGTTACAAATAATAAACGTTTCTAATTACAGCTGATAACGGACCTTTATTTTAATTAGATATCGTAAAATTTATTAAATCAGTTTAGATAGAGGATTTTAATTACTCATTATTATTTATTTATTTGAAAGCAACAATCGTTATATTTTCTTTTTAATATTATAAAGATTCACTAGCAATCTTCAACATAACAGTTTAAAATATTTCAAATACAGTTGATATGGTTGATATAATAATCCCAATACTTTGATTTAATCAACTTTGGACGTCTCACATTCTGCCACTAGTCTCAAACTAAGCAAAACTATTGTAATTAGGAAATTAATAAACTTAGAATTATGTCCCTTTTTGTAGATACATACATAGAACGCCTAATCCACACATGAATAAAAGTATTTGTGATGAGAGAGTAAAATTTAGGAATATATGAAACGTACATACTTAATACACAGAAAAAAATAACTACATGCATAGAATATACGTTAAAAAGCATTCTTATTACTATACATTAACATATAAAATATCATATCTAATGTTACTGTACTTAACCGCAGTTTTACCGAGGTTGTCATAAATAATCATTAATAGCAGAAATTATTTAAGCTCAATTAAAAAACAACCGATTGCAAAGAAGCGTATTACTTATTTGCTCGTATTTTAATTAACAATTCTTTGTCTTATTCTATAAGTCATTCTAATGGTGATTGCCAACAGAAAGTGGTGAAAGAAATGAACCGGCTGGGTATGCTGATCGATCTGTCGCACGTTGGTGACAACACCACCCGAGCTGCCATCAGGGTGTCGAAGGCGCCTGTCATCTTCAGCCACTCCTCTGTCTATAGTCTCTGCGCCCACAAGAGAAACGTTCCTGATGATATCATACAGTCTCTGGTGAGTTGGCGTGCTTACAATAAACTTAATAATTATTATATGCGTTCCATATTACATACAATTCAATTTTTTGCTGGAATGACAAAGTATAATATAAAAAAAAATGAAAACAGTCACCTATGTCCAAAAGGAACTAATATTTCAAGCGAAAAGTAAATGTGTCTTTAAAAATAATGAAAAGCAAAAAATTATATATAGAAAAATTAAGCTTAGAAACACATGGATACATTTATCTAGTTCTGTTTTAAATTTTCACTGAAAATTATATTGTGAAATATAATTAAAGAAAATTATGAAAGAAACAGAAGAAAATAAATATATTTACTAATATTTTTAAATACGTTACTATTTTATTTAGATTAATATACATATATTTCAATGTTTGTTGCGTTTTCAATTATATTGCAGTGTGCATGCAATTAAGAGCAATTTAGAAATACTATATAAAATACGTAATCTCGGTCAAATAAACACCTGTTTTAGCAACGGTTTACCACAGCTTGGCTTACACTTCACGCCCAAAATACTAAACAACTGTGATATACTTCAATCCTACACTTTGTTTGTGGCAACAAACTTGTTCAACCAAGGTATTCTAACTCGGAGCCGTTGGCCAACTGATCTTAACAACCCACCTGTTCTGAGTAGCCCGATCGCTCGGTCAGTTTGCAGTCCACACATGTACTTGAAGCTGCAAGCTGCTAAACTTTCCTAAACGAGAATAAAAGAAGAAAGTAAAAAACATTTATTGGCCTCCCTTTATGTATCTATCCCTTTTCTATTCTATTCTATTATCATATTTTTATAATGCCGGTGGTTGGGGTATATCGCACGGTAGGCTCTTAAAGAAGAGGTGCTAAAATTCTATTTTGTTTCACAGAAAGAAAATGGCGGAATCATAATGGTGAACTTCTTCCCTGACTTCGTGAAGTGTGCCCCGAATGCCACTCTGTCCGATGTCGCTGGTAATGTATTAATTTAACATATTTTGCTACCATCTAATGAAATACTAAATAATTTAAGATTGTAATGCTCTATGTAAGTTGTTTACATACCTGATTAAGAATGGACTAGGAAAAAATCTACGTCACATCAGTATAATATCTATAACCCTATGCCAAGCTCTTTGGCCAGCGTGTTAACAATATGGGAACTCCTTCTCTTATAAAAAAAACGAAGGGTTCGTTGGGATTACGTTTTGTTATTTTAGATATATACCTTATCTAATATAATATTCATTTGTCAATAGTCATTACTCAATTTTAATTTACTTTAGTATTGGCTCATGGGTTGAGAAGCGTTTAACTTTCAAGTTAGAGGTTAATTGATCTGTTACCTTAAGTGGGCGATTAAAGTTCAACTCGTGTCCACATAACATTGCGGTGAAGTCTACCCAACATGATAACGGTGACCACCCGTCGAGATTTGTTCAGACTTTCCGCTTACCGACCGAGCAGCCTTTAAATTAATTCGAAAATTTCGCTTCAATATTGGTCAGTCAATATTTAGAATCCCTCACACACCTAAACTTAATCCAGCCAATTTATTTCACAAACATTCTACTACCGTCAAACATAATCTTCCAATAACTAGGTACATCCAATGCACATATACATTCTGATATTAATTAAAAAATGCCCATTATATTTAGATGTTACTGTTAGATGGACTGTACTTCTCTTTGTCACCATTCTTCAATAAAAAAATATTACATACATGTATCTGTTTCATATCGCCAGTCCACTATGCAGTAATTTACTATATCTTATACGACCCTGTGTGCGCATAAAGCCATCCTGCTTTTAGCACACAGTAACATAATTCTAATTGCAAAAATTTTCTTGTTTGTTTTTAATAATATACAAAAAATATGACATCAGAAGAAGAAAAACAAATTATTACAATAAATAATAAACTGAAATGGTTCTTGGTCTACGGCATTATTCAATTATATGTATAATGATTTCTCTCCTCCATTATCTATCGGTTTACATATAAAACACAAACATTTTGTATTTTCTCAGAACCTATATCAAATTCCAAGCAAATAACCTGGGGGGCTCACGAGAAGGCGAAGGCATCTCATTTTAAAATTTTCTGCGTCGTTTTACAATATTAAAACTAGACGCCTCCTCAGTCATGTGAACGCCAATACGGTACCCCGTCATCGTCAGATGCCGCGGGCTCATACCATTTTTTCCGTTAAACTTATCCTTGACGTGGAATTTATTAGTTTTAACTTTATTTTATTTATTGTCACGGAAAAAATATACAGTTATATTTAAAACTATGTACATATGTGTAGCGGGTAATAAACAGAGGCATCTTAATACTTCTCATGTATCCGAGAGCAATAATTTAGTAAGTGCTACCTACCTACGCCAATACGGCACCCCGTCATGAGGTGCCGCGAGCTTTCGAGAAAGAACGCGCGAGAACCCTTTCCACGTCAGTTTCGTCATACTTACTCTTGACGTAAAATTTATTAGTTTTTAAAATAAATACATATTCTCATTTTCGCTGTTTACTTTCATGATTTTAATTTTAAACGAAACTTTAAGCTACTATGTTTCTAAATCTTCTTAATTTCACGCAAAAACTACTGAACTGATGTTGATGAAATGCGGTTACAGCTAATGTAATATAAATTAATGAGGTTTACTTTTAACGGGTCAGTATTTATCAGGACATTCCAAATTTTACGAAATAGTATGTTAATTCTACTAATAATATTAGTACTGCTTTTTGTGCTGTTTTGTGCTGTGTTTTTTTTATATCCAGTATCTGTCAGAACATTCCGGACCGCGGACCGTAAGGTAGGGTTACCTTACGGTCCCGCGGTACACACAAGTATCTGTAGGTTGTATGTACGTATACCACTGCGTTTCCACTTAGAGGTTTTGCGGTTTCGAACGACACTTCACCGCTCGTGGGAATACACCCTTTTTCGGTATAAAAGGGAAATTTTACTTTGACTCCTCAAAAAGCGTGTGCGGAACACGAAAAAAATGTGCTTAGCATTCGTTTGTCGACCGACTTCAGATGTTGGAGATTTCCGGTAGTTATTGCGAGATGTAAACTTATATGTAGGTACCGCAGATTGTATAACTGTCTCTGTGATAGTACAAACTATCACAGTTAGTAATTAAATAAAAAAAACAAGATAATCTCTAATATATAATGGTAACCCATGATATTAGGACATTCTTTAAAATGAAAATCAGAACTATTAGCAAAATATCTAGCTGCTATTTATAAAAATTACGAACTATTTTACATTTATAGCCATTAGGTACTAGCGTTCAGGCTAACTACGAGTACTAATTCATAATCTTTTTTAATGTTGATTTAGTACAACTTATGATCTGTTTTGTCTGACCATAATATACGAGAAGCTAAATATATTAATAAAAATTACTAACCACATTCAGCTACAAAAAAACAAAGTAGAAACACGACGTAATAAATAATAAAGCCTATTCCCCATTTCAAAATTAGTTTACATTAACTTGAATAAAAACATTGCTTGTTATTGTAGGTATAAAAAGTTTCAATTAACGATACCCGAGTCACAGTAATTCTTAATTAGTATTCCCCTTAAATTAGAGCTCTCATTTCAATTTTAAATTCGCAATTGCAATCGTAACATTGCATTTAAGACTCAGAGTCAAAGATTTAAATGTCAAAATGACGCGGCGTAATTTATTCTAGAATAAATTATGCTATCTTTATCGACGTAGAGTGTACTCTCTCTTCGCTTTCGTCATTCCTCTCGTTCTTACTTAAATGCCCGGAGCGATGTGATATCTAAACACGTTCGTTTTATGCACTTGACACTAGAGAATAAATTTAAAAATAAAATTTTGCCGCGAAATCTACGTACTATTTGATTTTATTCAGACCGAAAACAACCTGGCTGTATATATTATACCTTTGCCTTTCCTTAAATAATATTAAATAAATATTGCTAATATTAACATCAATCAGAAAATAATAAATACGTAATCGTTTTAGATCTAAAAATAAATGGACGCACTGTTTTATATAATAAATATTTGGTTCCAAGACTAGGTCCTCAGAACTTTGAAGATAAAAATATACCCTTTTTAAAGTACCAATCACAAGTAAAACAAACTAAATTGCATAAATTCTAATGATAAGTGCTACTTATTCCTTCCAAGAAGAGAGGTGTTTTATATAAAAACACCATGACTTAGTACAACTGTCAGTTTAGAATGTAGTTTAAACCGAGAATGTTTCTCAGTTATTATATTTTCACTACCAAAACATTTTTCTCTGGTTCACAATACTTAAATGCCAATGACAATTTTGTAAGTGCTAAATCGACCAATTATACTTTAATATTGTCTACGTTAAAATTATACAACTAATAAATAACTGTACTATATACTCAACTCTCTTTTATAAATAAGAAGATTTTAGACAGTTACGATACTACTACCATCATGTCCCTTACATGCAACAATATAGTATGATATTGGGATTACTTATTTTTAAACATTCGCATTTAATACATTAATAATATAGTTAAACAGGTCACACTCATAAATTAAAGGCAAATAAAGATATTTACCTCTCTCGACGTGACTCGGCACTAGCCATGCACACAAGCTATATAATTGCCATTATTAAAATTATTCGTGTTAAAACCCGCTTACAAGTATATTAATAATGATGTTGGATTGTCATTAGTTTAAAATAAATTTCGCTGCATAAAATATTTACGTAACTTTATTAAAATACATGCGCCTTTGATCAGTTAGCAAACACGGTTCCTTTGTACCTTTACCATTTAATATCGTATACGTTACCTTTCTACTGCGAGCACTTAAATATTTTCCAAATAACAACCTGATATCAAAAAGAATTTCATGTTTTTTTATCATAAATGAGGCAAAGATGTTACGTTTGCAATTTCTATGTAATATACGTAAATAATCCTCACTTTGCGACATATAATTGACACGAATATAATAATCGTTCAAATAAATGTAATGTAAGCATTTTAGAATATATAATAGTATATTTTGTTATCTAATATCTATTCAGAATGTAAATTAAGCTAAGAATAATATGTCTTCTTTCGTTTTGAACAAATGTTGTAGGTAGAACAAACTCTTAAATTTTCTAGATTTCGTATGAATACAAAAAATCAACCTATTAAAAAGACGATATTAATATAATATAGTAAAGAAAAATTCTTTTAATAATCGATTGATCAATAAGTGTGTAGGTAGTAATTCTCAAGGGTAAATAAATATAGTATAGTTAAAATAGATAAATTACGATCACAAAAGTCACCGATAGTACGATAAAATAAGCTGTGCAATCAGAAATCCAAAGACAAAGATTTGAGCTCTAATTATTTATTACCCTTTGCCCCAAAGCCCCTGACAGATTATCGGATTTGGTAGAGGTGAAAGGCAAAAGGGACCGAGCAGTAAATTTTCTCAGTTTCCCAAATTTATTTAGGTAACTGTGCTTTTCTTGGTCGTCTCGTCTGTTTGGTTAACTTTATACATATATCAGTATATTACTGTTTTATTTTAACAAAATGTGTTTTTTACTTAATAACTTAACATGATCCCCTTTAATCTTCTCCACCGGGCGATCCCTGTCCCTTTACAATTACAAAGCCATAAGTGGAGATTTTAAACTAGTGTTAACATTTACCAAAAAATTCTCTCTGCCTCTCTTTCTCACATACTGTTCTATATTGATGTACTTTATAAAACTGTAGTGCACCATTTTAATCTATTGTCAATAATTTCCGCAGCATATGCGATATAACCATTTTTTGGTATTCCCCACTTTTGATTATATAATAGAAGTTTTCATACGGATGAATTTTTTTTTAATATAGTCCAACACATATGTTCATCAAGCATAATGTAGAAATCTAATATTTCAGAGCCAATTCACTTAACCTTATATTACTCAGGTT